TGCGGGTATTCAATTCTCTATTTTACACACACACACACACACACACACACATATATATATAAATATATATATATATATATATATATAGAGAAAGTCTAATCGTACGGTCAATATTATCTATCCGTACGGTAATCCACCCTATCCTCCTATACCCAACCCTAACCCTGTAGACTCCTAGACCGACCCGCACCTATCTGGCACATACCGCGCCCGCTAAGCTCCTAGATTTCAAACTATTATATACATCTGGGGGTTGTATTAGCCACCCTCGTACTACACTAGCCACCTTAATTTAATTTAGCGATTATTCTAGTATATACTTTATTATATTACTTCCTTTATTAAACTATATATATTACCACCTTATTGTATTCAATTAATCTACTACCCCGCATATTATTAAATACTATTAAAATAAATAAAATACTCTTATTTAATCGATAATACAGAATAATCTATTACTTTTTAATATATTTCCCTAACTAACTGTAATATAAATAGTTAATATAGCGACCCTCTAATTGACGGGTATATACGACCGTAGTACGGGTAATTACCCCCCTAATTAAATTAATTAAATAATCGACCTTATTCTTATTAACCTTTATTTAAAACCCTTAATAAATACTACCCTAATTACTACCCCAATTACTACCCCAATTGAACCTACCTCTACCTAATTAGACAATTCTAATAATAATAATAATATCCCTATAATTGAAATTAATAATAATAATAAAGAGGAATATAACCCTATTTTTATAATTTAATAGGATATTATCGATAAGGTATTTAATATTATTATTAAGTAGATTAAAGAGGAGGGATATAAGGTTATTAAGATGCGGTTTATTAATAAAGTTAAGGACTTCGGTCTTACTCAATATGATATTATTTATACTAATGGTCCGCGTTGCAAATTTAAGGCTCACTTTCGATCTACCTTAATTATAAAGAAAGATTACTCTTAGGGAGGGTATTTCAAAATATTAAAAACTAACCTCAAATAGTGGATTTTTGAGTTGAAAGAAGGTTATAATAAGTATACCTATTCTCTTAACTAAAATGTATTAATTTATAGAGTATTTAATATTAAATATAAAGTATTTATCGCTTAATATTTTAATTGCTTTAATATATACAACCGCCAAATTGTATTTGAATTATGTAAAAAGTTCTTAAGGATTCAATTTACGACTAAATAGTTAATTAACCTTTGATATAATTTTAGAAGGTATACTAATACTAGTTATAACCCCTTTTAGCAAATTATAAAATTATTTATAGAGAAGGAAGTCTATTTTAAAGTTAATTAGGTAAATAATATTAAAATTAAACCGACTGCCCTCTTTTAAAATAATTTATAAGGAGAGTAAATATAGAAGGAAAATCCCTAGGTCTAATTATATAATAATACGTACAAAATTAATAATAAAGGTTTAGCTTTTTTCCAAATTATAGGTATAATTAAATTAAGTTATACTTTTAATTATATATTTAGGTTTATAGATAATAAGAGATAAGAGGGATTTGATTGGTTAATAGATTAAGTTAATGTTCGTTGTAAGGTTATTACTGCTATTACTCTATTAATTACTATTATAAATTACGATAATACTATAAGGGTGGCTATTAAATAAATTTATCTAACGGCGCGCCCCTAATTCTATATCTTTTATATTAATAAGAATATAGTTTTAAATATTAAGTGTAAATAGGATAAGAAAGTTACCGCCCTAGTTATTTAAGCTTATACCGATGTAACTAATATATAAATATAGTAAGAAATATCGGTATCGATTCTAATACCCGGGTAAAAAGCCTAATTACAGCCTTCTAATAATATTATAAGTTTAGTAGAGTTTAATAAGGAGGATAAGCGTATTATTATTCGCCTAAATCAATTAATTAACGGGATTAACCAATTAGGTCCTCCTCCTAATACTATAGAGTATTTATAGTCTAAACTTTATAATTTCTAGAAATATACCTATTATATAATTATTATTAAGGTTTTTAATATTATTTGGAAGAGACTTAAGAATTTTTTTGTATAGTAAACGGTAATTATTATATATTTAAATAATATATATATAATTATTAAAGAGGAGTGGGCTACTTGTTACATTAATAAAAGGTTAAATTTCGGTTATTGTACTATATTATTAATTGAATTAATGAATTATAATTTAAAGAACTTTATTATTACAAGTATCCCTCCCTATATTTCTCCTATATATTATATAGTATACTAATTATTGTTGTTTATGTAGGCGCTAGTCCAGTCGTTCAAACTATTATTTAGAGTTTTAAAATATTTAATGCTATAAAAATTGTAATTAACGAAGTAATTAAATATTAAACGAGACGTACTAAATTCGAGTACCTTAATATACTATAGTTAGGGGAGGCTCTTAATTAGATTTACTAGCGAACTATTAATATAGTAATATATTAATATCGTATTACTTTTAGTATTATATTATTAATATATTGCTTTACCCTTGATGAGCTAGAATTATATACGGGTAAATTTATTAAATAATACGGTTTATTATACTTGTATTTATTATTTACTTTAATAATTCCCTAATAAAAATTATTAAAATTAATTAAATTAAACTTTTACTTATTTTAATAATTTTTGAAAAGTTTTACTAATAAAAATAATTACTTTATTTATTAAAACTTCGATCGTATTTAGAACCTTCGTAATTGTTTTCGCAATAACGCGCTATTTATTATTAACCCTTATGCCCCCCGATTAACTACGCTAATTAATACCCAAACTCTTTTATTTGTAGTGCTAATTTAATTCTAAATAATAGTATTATAGGGTTAGGGATAAGGTTAAGGACGGTTTCGCCTCTAATCTACCTGCGGCCGCTAGCTTAAGGGAGGCTGCAACCCTATAGTATCGATACGAATAGCGCTATTAATTTAGTAAAATATATTTATATAGGAAGGTATTAATTTAGTGGTAAAAAGTATAGTAGATGCCTAGCCTCCTACTCCGTTATAGAAAGGACGAGGCCGCTTGCGAAACTCTATATAAACTACGTAAAGAGGAGGAAATATAAGGGGAGGAGGTAGCTCTATATAGGGTAGAGGAGGTATAAAGAGGGGGGGTACGAGGGGAGGAGGTATGTTAATTAATACTCTAGTTGGCACTTAAGCCTAGTAAGGGAAATTTATTATAATTAGACTACTCGATTATATAGTAGAAATTAAATAAATTAAAAATATATAGATTAATGTAGATTGAGTGTAACTAATTGATCGTTCAATTAAATAACTTAATTGAGTGCGATGTACGACCGTACCGCTAAATGCCCTATAAAGTATATTGTAAAGTGCCCTATAAATCTGGTTTGGTGCGTGCACTGGTTGTAGTTTAGAGTCTGGGTTTGGTACGGCGTGTAAGAATGAAATGCCTAGATTTCTAAGCGAAATTTATAAAAGAATACATCTGATATTGGGGGAGTTTGCAGGGTTAGGGTTGGGTATAGGAGGATAGGGTGGATTACTGTACGGATAGACAATATTGACCGTACGATTAGACTTTCTCTATATATATTAAGGTCATTGTCGGTTATGAACATCCACACACTTTTTTATTCTTTCCACTTTCTGTTTCACTTTCACCTTCTTTTATGTCCCTTCACTTTTTCTTGTCTGTCGTCATAACCCTTGCTTGGCTTTCTCGTGCCCGTCTATGTGAGACTCGCCGTTCCTTTCCTTTCTCTCTCTCTTTTTCCGTTCTTCTTTTGCTGCTATTGCGAGTTTACTCCTGCCACTCTACTTGTGTCTCAAAAAAATGGATATCCTGAGGCAGAACTGTGTGCTCCTCTAATATCGAGTGTCAAACATGCTCTACTCTTTTCTGAACGCGGAATGTAGTGACGAGGGAATCAAATATCGAGGAAATAGACACTTGTATTTTGAATTAATTATTACGTCTTTTTCTCTCTACGCAAAATGTTGCGATTGGTGGATTCCAGCTCATACTCATAAATGTGCCTTTTAGACTCACGTGTGGTGGGACCGAGCCGAGCTTCACATATCGTTGGAATGTCGGCGTGGCAAGCGTACGACAAACTGAAAGACAAACTGTCACTCGATACCTTACAAGGCATGATCACTTCATGGATAGATAGAGTCAATGGGATGATGGTTCAGAAACACGTTTTAGCATCATCCGTTCACCATGAATGCCACAAACTGACTAGAATCATACTCGATAAACGGCGAATAGGTGGACTCGGAGTAAGTGGAATGAACACTCGTTACTTAAAGCCCCTGGCCGTATCTGTTCACTATTCCATACTACCCTTGTTCCTGTGCTGGATCTCAGGTAGATGATAAAATCACCTACCAAGGCATCTTACCTACAGACCTCCTAGAACAAGCCAAGGCTAACGTCAACGGAAAAGATTGCTTACCTAAATCCCTACAAGAGCTGGTCCGGTCCGATGTAACTCCGTAACCTACACCAACCTGGCAAGTCTGGGGTATAACAAGCTGTCCTAATAAGCTTGTAATGCAAAACCCGGGGGAAATTGGTAAACGGGATGGGTTGCGGCGGTGATTGCCCGCATATCATGCAGTAGCGAGCACACAATCTATGTGCTAAGTGTGGTAAGGTTACACTAGTGACTCAAGGGAAACAAACCCGGCGTCTTGCGCCCTCCTGTGCCTCGTAGATCCATACCATATTCCATCCACCCATCCATTCATTCTACCGCTTACTCTTTCCCCGTAGCATAGAGGGTCCCAGGGCATGCAGAGGTCGAGACCGGATCCAGTTCTGTGGCGTTGGGTATATGTCTGTTGGTGTTAGCCAAGTTCAAAACGGCCGCGTAACCTTTTGAGTGACTCCTCTCCAAACAAGGGGGCTATTAGCCGGTTAATTTTCTTTTTTGTCGTTCGATAACGGGATGCAGATGCTTCCCGCGTTCCTGTCTACCGCAAGCAAACCTCATCAAAGTGCGATGTCGGTGAAGGAGATGGCTAATATACAATGAGTAATTTGTGCGTCTTCCTGCAAAACAGCCTCGGTGGCTTGACCTTCTGCGTGCCTCCAGCAAGCAACCGTGCTGATTGCTACCACGACAACCACAACACGAGATGTGTTCCAATCCCGGTATGTAGCATACATTGTACTTACTGTCTTCGAGAGCCCACGACCGCATCCCTCTCCCGCTTAGCCTGTGCCCAAGCCGGCGGTAATCGTCGACTTCCTTGTTTCAGTGGGTTCAAGTCGTACCACAAACAATCCCGCACACATCACCGGACGTCCGATCGGTCTTGTCTCTTCTTCTTACTTGGCAGATTTAATGACAGTCTGCGAAGAAAAGAAGAAAGAAAAAGCGAAAGTGTGGGCTCAGAAGTGGACAAGCGTGAGTATGCCATCTGCGAGCATTGTGGCCAATCGAACGGCTTTCCAGAGCCAAGTTATATCATGGTGAGCACAGTATTCACTGAATCCACTCTTTGACTTCCATCAGTGTTTAAGGCCATGAGCCACAGTAGAATACGCGTGTCCAAGGTAAGGAAACCCAGGTGTCCTAGACACCGCGGTGATAAAGCCTTAACCACGTGTCTGGCAACCCCCGTGAGCCTCACGGAATCGACATCGTCGCCTGATCATAGCAGCAAATGCATTCCTTTGGTTGGAAACATGCCCAAAGCGGCGTACATACGAAGGAATATCTGCCGCTCCCGGGGGAGGTGGGGCTTGCTTGCTGGATAAGACACCGTCGATACGTCCTGCAGTGCCAGAAAAGCTTCGTTGAGCACATTCTACCCTTTTTAGCAGCCCCTGCCTCCCATTTTGATGTTCTTTTGCTGGCAAGAGGGTGGTGGAAATGATTAAAAGATAGAGCATGCGTTTCTTGCAGCTGCTGCCATAAACCCAATCTTCACGCGTGGATGGGCCTGCACACGCAAGCTTAGCTATCAAGGACCCAATGAAACGGTTGACATGAAAAGTAACCATTCGTGGCGTGTCCCGGAGGGGCATGGTTCTTCGTAATCATAGGATAAAAACCCAGGGGTGGCTGGATTTCGAAAGCATTCTCAAGATGGCAAAGCCACGCCACTCTCGTGCTTCCACCACCAAATGAAAGCTCTAGTCCAATCGGTTCTTAAATTGCTTTGATACCCGTGCTGTCATGCCCCAGTGCCGGAAACCCGTTGTGGACATCCAACCTGATACGGCTCGCGTGTCTTTGCTTCCATACCGTGATGCCGGTCGGAGTAATTGATATGGTTCCTCGGGAGGCCAGACCAAGGTAGATGAGGTCACCGACCAGGCAATACGCTAGCAAGAAGCTGACTGACACCAGGATCGTCGCACCTCCTTGAAGTTTCCGGAAAGGACACAGGCGATGGACTCCCTGAAAGAGGGTCCCCGCACAAAGCTGTCTTGCCTGTCTCTTTTGCGAAGGCATGCTTGCGATCTTCCAAGGACCATGGGGACCACATGGTTGGAGCAATCGCACAGAGCTGCATTGAGTGGAATGAGCTTCCTTTGTAACGGCGGGACGAGATAGGAAGTTGCGCAGTTTCAGATTGTCTTGGTCTCAAAAAGAATCGGGCTCAAACACCCAAACAAGGACCTTTCACTTGCCATGCAGGCGCCACATCGGCATGAGAAGGCGTCCACAATTGAGTTCCCACGATGGCCGCCAGTAGGCGTCGGCCCATTGTTGACTCGGGTTCGAACATGTGAGACCTGAGCGTATTTATTTGCGGGTAGATACCACGCCTTTCTCTTTGACTCAGCTGGCTATAATACGGCTCTTGACCAAAAGCGTGCTTGTTGTGGCTGACTTGCGGGTCTATTATACATGACGGGGAAATTCCCATTATGTCCAGAGTTTGGGCTCTATCGTTCGTGTTGCCCGCTGTTAGTATTCCGGATTTCCCAAGAGGCAGAGTAGTCAACAGTCGTACCAAAAGGCCTGAAGGCGGGCTAATCACCGATCCTGGCTTGTTGGGTACTGCTGTATGCACGGATATTGTGTTTACGATCTCGTAAGCTGATGGTTTCTTGGTCGACTTTGTGAACTCGTAAGCAGGAATCAAAATGTTGTTCGTTGTTCCTCAGGAGGACTAGATACGCCTCATCCTGAGCAATGCGTACGATTAAAGGTCGCTGTCCGGACTTTGGTGATAAGATCAATCAGACATTCCGATGCAGCGTTAGTTCCTGCGCAGGAAGCTGCGTTGTACTGTTTTTCTTCTTCGCAGGTATTGCGCGCGTGGCCGTCCATATGGCATTTACATTGCATATACGCATTACAGACCCGGCGAAGAAAACGTGGTTGAGCTGACATGCCGCCGGTGGATGTCTGTCTGTGTTTCGCCGCGGACGAAGAATGTCTGTGAGTATCTTTTTGCGTCTAGGATCGCAGGCTTCTCTCTCTTATAGCAACAAAAGTCTCAAGTCATGGAAAGTCGCCCCAATGCTACGTGCCGACCTGTCAGTATGTGCCGGCAAACGACACCAATTAGGATGAGGGATCATCAACATACAATTGAAAAAGCCAATACCGCCATGTCTAGAGCGCGAAGGACATGGGAATAATAGGCAAGCTCTTGGGAGTGAAGACGGATTCCTTGCAGGATACAATTACCCGTCGGTCCAGTCCGCGGAGGCACATTGGGTTTCGGCTAGAGATGGAAAGCGAGTGCGAACAGATGATTCGGGGTGGCTCCTGGCTCGTGGGCATCCGATGATGGCGGCACGTATCATGCCAGTGCTGGCGGAAGATGGCTCGTTGCGGCGGCGAAAAGGAAAAGATGATTCCATGCATGACGGAAGTTGACAAATCCCGACACTGGCAGAGTGTGGCTTGGCCATTTGATGAAGACTGTCTCGTTGCGAACGTGGTCGGGAGAGCGAGATAGATGAAATTCGGTTGCCCGAGACAATTGATGAGGTTAAGGTTAGTCGGGAGAAGATAACGTCGGAGTGTCTGCAGTGGTAGGCCTGGATGGCTGGGAACACAACTTGACGAAGCACAAAGGGCAGTAAGAAGCATCGATATGATGCCTGCCTGGCCGGGGGCCTGGGGCTTGGGATCTCGAGTTGCTGCGGGAGCTTCAAGTGGACGTTCATTGTTGAAGTGGAAGCTCCGACCTTGGGGTTGCTGTCGTGCTTGTGTCTCTGTTTCACCGCGGCCACTGTATCTCTTGTCCGAGTCTTCCTTGTGCTCCAGTTGACGACATGGGCCCGGGACCCGTGAAGCTTGTCTGCTTTTAGGGCAGCACAACCGAAAGCACGACTGAATCCTCCGTCATTGGATCATGCCCGAAGACTGCATGAGCCCTCGGCTGCCCTCTTCAAGTCCCATCTCCACTTGTCGCCGCAATCCCAACTTCCTGAAGTGACCGACTCGCACATCGGGGCAGGTCTCTCCTTCCTCGTGAGCCCGCAGCGAAGCAGTGTACTCTGGAGGTGAGTGTACCTACTAGTGAGACCGGCTGGGTTATACCTTCCATCATCATCATCACCACCACCACCAGACAGCGACTCGGAATGTGCGATCGATGTCGGTCAGGTGGCAGTGGCAGTGGCAGTGACAGTGACATCTTCCAACCTCATTCCGCTGTGAAGCGACTGTTGCGACTTCCCAGGTTGAGCAGAGCTTCAAGTTCAGTTCGTTCCATGTTTCGACAGCCGCTCAGATGGGGCAGGCGGAGAGGGGGCAGACCGAGACCGCTCGGCCTTGTTCCCGCAGTTGCACTTTCCGTTTCAACGGCTTGGGTCTTCGACGCAACCGACGCAAGAGGAAATTAAAGCGACGTGTTCAGTTCAGTCTTGATGTCGGTTCTCACAGCGGTGGTGTGTTTGCGGAGAGATGATTTCCGAGAGGCACTTCGTTGTGAGGCTCCCCGGCTCACAGCTCGAGCCATGACTTTCCTCTTCAGTTTTCGGTGGTGCTCTTGGCGGCTGGCGGTCCGTCGGCACATGCCCTGGCACTTTTGGCTCCGATTCAGCGCCGCAAATTATCAACGGATCTCCTCTCATAAGAAGGGAACATCAGTTGCAACATAAACAAACCACTGCATCGTTACCAAGTGTACATATCCCGAACCTCAATCGTCCCAAACTTGACCAACAGTCCATGTCTTAAGTTGTACGCGCTATAGTGCAATTGCCGGTGTATCTCCGCGGCGTGCTCTTCCGGAGGACTAAAGCGTCCAGACCTTCAATAAGCTAGCCCAGGTGTCGATATCTTGTGTCTTGGCTCAGGATCCCCTACATGATGTTTCGGACCCGTGACCTGACGCTCTCTTGGAAGGGGTGAGTCGCATCATGAGAACATGTCCAAGCTACGCGAGTAACTGAAGCGAGGTAGCCGCTGAAGTCGAATCGAACCAAGCTTCAGTTTTGTCTTCTGACAAAAACCAGTGCCGCGCGAATATCAAAACGAACCCCGCACGGGCATCCGATTTGTAGGTTCCCATTGTTCATTGCAGCTGGCCGCTGCACCATTCAAGGACGTAGCACTTTCCTCATGGTCCCCAAACCCAAGTCTCAAACACCACACGCGGCTGCAGGCGCAACGAGATCGGCTGCGACCCTTTTTTAGCGTCTAACGAGTTGAGCATTACGACGACTGTTTCCCACCAGGCAAGGAACCTTTTCACAACATCGACGCCATCCATGTATTCCCACGTCCGTCACGTCCCAAGCCGGTATGCGCCCGAGTCACGACATGAGTGCCCTCAACTTCCATATTAGCTCCAGCCGAAGCGCCTCCTATTAGCCGTTAGCCATGTGGTACCCGCATTCTTAAAACGTCCTCCCTCCCTTCGCGGTTAACCAGCTCACAGCTGCGGTCATGATACGGACCTTTCTGGCAACTATGGACCACCTGTTTCTATAAGAGCAGGGTTCTGGTGGTATTGCCCGGCAACGTCAAACGCAATACGCGGCTCGAGAATGCCACATGGCATTGTATTTACATACTTGCGCCCAACTCCACCATCGAAGGCATCCGATGAAGCAGACTAAGACCATGAACGATGTTCTACAAGCGGGACTGTTCATGGGTTCATGATAGGTTAACAACCCGGACAAGCCACTGCTTTAGGAAGCTCCAGATCCAGAGGTACCGTTTTCTTATTCAACGGCCCGCGAAAATGCATCAAGTTGGCTCGTTGCGAGGTGGAGGGATACCGTATCCGGTATCTTTTCGGTCCAGGATGCTCATTTTGGCTCCAGCTTGTAAAAGATACAGTCACCACTCTCTTCGAACCCCCCTTCCCTGGAGTATTTGGAGTTATCCCATTTGCTGTGTCCTTACGGGCCACACCCTGCATCTACCAAGCTTGGACCCCCAGTCGCGTGGGCCAGCTTGTCGGTAGGGGTACGTTCTTCGGGGACGCAACGGCAGTTTGGGCAGCTTCGTTTTGGGAGCTCTCGGTCCTTACACTAACTAGCTCTACCTAGTTTTTCACACGGCTCAGAAGCCACTACGAAGCCCCGTAATGAGGAGAAAGGACGTCTCACTAACACGGTATAACCAAAAACAGCAGAGGGAGTCACGTCTACATAGATAGGTACGAGTCCGCAAAAATTTCATCATCACAACCACAGCCTTATCCTTGCCTCCATCCTCACACGCACGAAACCTTCAGGTTGGTGGCGTGGATGAGCCAAGTGGCATTCCAACCAGCTCTCAGTGGTCAAGTATATCAAAAAGGAAGGGTCTCGTCTTTATCACTGTCCGCCTTACTTGTTCCTGTTTGCTCTCCCAGCTTCAACCTTCCATACACTACCACTATACTGACCGGAAGGGCGTGGTTACATGTATCCTGGATGGCCCACGGTCCCCTCCGTTCAAGGAGATGATTTCTTTACCCTGTTCTTCTTTTTCTCGTCTTTTTTGTCCGATATCCACTCGCTGCACTAGCCTTTCGTTAGATACCTCTTTACCTTCTTATCGTTCGTTGTTCCCTTGCCAATTCCCGCGTGGCCGGGCTACATCCGTCTTTCACCAGCTAGGCACTGGCTCCATCTCCACGATTACACCCTTGCGGCAATCTTTTCTGACACACGCTGCCTCGAAAAGAAATAACACAGGGCTCGCCGTGTTCTCCACATTCTTGTTTTGTGCGCGGCTACTTTCCCAAACCGTAGGTAATTTGTCGCCCCAAGTTCCTTCCAGACCCTCGGCTCATCTCAACTCAAGGGAACTCGAGAATTCCAAACACCCGAGTGCACATCTCATCCGGCATCTGCTCCCATTTACAGGCGCCCCTGTCTGTCCATAGCTTCGAGAGTTGGAACAAACAGGCACTGTTATCCACCGAGGGTTAGAGACTGAGCAAAAGAAAATCGGATCCAGTCTGCAGACGGGGCAGTGAAGAGACAGGAACTAGGGGACCCCCGCCACTTTCTGGTCACTATTACGAGTCCGACTAGCTTCTCTGCCGGCTTGAATGCTGTCTATACTTTGTCTTTTACCTGCACAGCTTGCAGTCGATCCTAGCTACCCATTTTCTTCCCTCCGAGCACGACTATATTTTTTGGGGCGCGATCCAATGGCCAGATGAGGGTTGGCTGTCACTTCAACGTCTCATCATCACACACACCCCTCGCCGAAAGAGCCCTTCGTCATTAGCCTCGTACACTAGTACTATTAGAATACTGGGCTGGCCGCCCCATCCAGCTTCCCATTCCACTCCAAAAGGTTATTTCCACTTCTTTCCATCCCTCCCCTGTTCTCCTCATCCTGTTTTCTCATCTCGTCATCTTCCTGTTTGAATGAACTAGCCTGCCCCTTTACCAGCTCGGATCTGGGTGCACTGGAGCCTCCACTCCACGCAATATCAACCTCTTTCCTCCCCCACCGCGTTTACCTTTTCCATCCACTGTCCTCACCCTCACCCTCCTTCAGCTTATATGAGGATGCTTACCATCAATAAGTCAGCTCAGTACGGCTACAGGTCGGTCCATGACCTACCAACCCCACCGAGCACATCACGGCCTTCCCCCCCCTTGATATACCAAGACTTTGGTCACACGACCTTTCCAGCCATCACACATAGCGGCAACCGATCCAGTCAATCCATGTCTGCGCCTCACCGTGGCTTGCCCCTGCCGGCGGCCTTGAACCCCGTTCCGCCGCCTTCTGGTCCGGGACTTGTTCAACAACCTCCGCCACCCGTCCCCAGCTTGTTAGGACACGCTCACCCGCCACCTACACCATCGCAAAGTCAGTCCTTGGGACAGATTCCAGCACCGCCGTCATGGCAACATGGGAACGAGGAGTCGATGCGAGTATGGCTCATGGCCAAGGCTGAGGAAGAGAAGCGGAAGCAGGAAGAGGAGAGAACACGGCAGGAAAGCTTCCGCCTGGAACAGCGTAAAACCGAATTCAACATGTTGAGAGAGTCACTGCAAGGGGGAGTTCCGCCGGCCATGGTACCAGTGGTCTTCGCGGGGATGAGCGGGGGAGCCCTTTCGCAGGCTGCCCTGGACTGGGCACAGCAGTATATCTACTCGCAGTCTCACCAGTCCCATCCACAGGCTTTATTACCGCCGGGGCCTATCTCACCCCAACATCAGAGGCGAGAATCTCAACCCCACAGCTACGCGCACTATCCGGGCTCGGGAGGGGTTCCCTCCACTCCAGGCTCTGCCCAGGGACATGGAGGCGGGTACATATCTGGCTATCCTGGCTCACCACAGACTCGTCCGAGAGGGCAAAGTGTTCCTGGGCCTATGGCAGGCCGCCTCCATGGAGGAATGGCCAATCTTCCCAACCTCAACACCGGCATTTCTGGGGGTCATGGAAGTTCAGCAGCCGCTCATCCGGCGGTTGTCCAATCCCAGCAGCAGCAAGAGCCTCAGCAATCACCCTCGATACTCTTTCATCATTGGACACCACCGACGAGTCAGGCAGGAGGGCGGGGCGGGGCTGACCAGCCTGCAACACCTTCAGGTTTGTCCCAGCCCAAGTCTCGCTTTCGAAACACTGGCAGACTAACCGGTGCGCCCATACAATAGGCGAGTCGCCGAGGAAGAGGAAAGCTACGGGCCCGCAGACGGCAGTACCGCCACCGAGCAGCTCACAGCGGTATCGGTCCCCGACTTTCTCACATAGTGGTGCTCCGTTGTCGAACCCGCCAGCCGGGCGTAAGACAGGTCATGCTCGCCAGCGAAGTGACATAGGGTCATACCGCGGGGCTGTTCGAGGGCGTGGAGACGGTTATGCGCCATCGCCACAGGATGCACCCACAAACAGCAGCGAGTCTATAGTTACTCAGCACCAGCACCAACAGCATTTACAGCACCATCAACATCAACACGGACAGGGGCATACGCAGTCCTCGCAGGGCCAACAGACAGCTCCGACAGTAACACGTAGCGCGCACTCGGTTTCGTCACTGTTGTCGGATCATCCACAATCACCTCGGCCAGGGCAGTTCTCAGGAGGAGGCCGATCCTCCGAGGAGAAAGTGCGCGGTGGTGCAGTCGGTGGATCGTCGGCCACGCGAGACAGAGATAACGACTGAACCTTAATCTCTTCCGTGTTTCAGCCTCCAAGTCCCGGGGCTAAGATGCTGCGGTGATAATTGAAGGGCTGTCCCAATAACGACCAGTCATCGAGCAGGGCGTCTTGGCGAACGTGTACCCTTGCGATATCCGAACCCCACGGAACGGACAAGCTAGGATTGGGATCAAACCGTGCCTCGATTGGGAAAAGGCTGCTATGCCCCCCTGTGGCCTGGACTCCAACGGCCTCGCATCATAACTTTCGCTTCTGTTTGACAAACTCGTTTTCCCACAGCATTTTTGGTTAGGGCGTCAACGCTGGTCTTTGTTCAATTCGATTTATAACTCGAGGGCAGGGGATGAGCTGAGTCGGAAGCTTTCCCTTTTCGTCCCACTCTGGGTAGTTTTTTTCTCCTTCTCTTCGGATGCACCTTCTGAACTTGTATTACTTTTTGATTTGTGTTTATTCGTGTTCTATCTACCTTTCCTTCCGATGTATACTATGTTATCTGGCATTTTTCTAGGTCTTCATTCTTCATACGCTTTCACAAAGAAAATGATATCAAAAAAAACAGGACGCTCTCAGGGAAAAGACAAGGGAATATGAATGGACGGGACTGGCATGGAGGATTTGGAACTTGCGGCTCCTCCTTTGGTGTGCTTGCGTCCTTAGGTGGGCGCAAATGGGAGTGGAACAAAGAGGCCACATGGTTATCGTCGGCCAAGACCATCAAGAATATACGTACATACAATGATGATGATTACCTACCGATTAAGTTTTCAGTTCGCCCCAGTCGCATAGGACCCACGATTGTTTACTTCCCCCATCAAGCGAAGGTTGGATACATGATAGGGTACCGCGGCACAACAGCTTCGCCTGCAAGTGCATGCAAGTCATGAAGTCAAAGAGCAAAAGCGCGGAAATGAGAGGGACTGAGGGATAGGCACATTGCCATGGTGGTGCTAGTGCGCTGACATGTCGCTTGTCATATCATAGCATCGCCGCACTCGTGTGTTTGCGGCCAGATGTTAGGATTCAGGAAGTACGAGGCATACGGAAAAGTTGGAAGTTGGTGATATGAAGGCCGATTTGGAAAAGGAAAGAGAAGCAAGCACACACAAGCGAACTCGAAGGTGGCATCATTGAGGGGGGGATTGGTAGGCGGGATGACGGACTGAAACTGGGAGGAAGAAAATTCGCTGGACCGAGATACATATTGGAGACCACAATTGAGGGTCCCTCGGCTTGGAGCTAGGATCTGATCATCTTCTTTTTGCTTTCTGGCGGCTGCCCAGAATGCCAGCCCAGGGTATTGTCAAGGGTGTCCAAGGCTCACTAAACAGGGGGGGGGGGGGGTCCGCTGCAACCAAGGTACACTACAGTAATGACCCCTGAAAGTGCAACTAATCCGGGCGGAGGAAATCCTTTGCACTTTCTGGGTGTTTGCACTTGGGGGATCTGGTGCACAGACCATAAAGCCCCCTCCGGCTACTTAAAGACGCTCGGCTATATTAAAAAGTGGGACCTTAGAGCCTCGGTAGATAGGTATAAGTGTTCTCTCCCACTAAGATTGGACCCCTGTAGGTGCAAATCCGGGCTAGAGTCTTTGCACTTTGCAGTTTGCAGGTTTAGTATGGGAAATCAATTCCGGCCACCCAATTCTTTTGCACTTTAGGGGGTTTTTGCACTTGGGGGTGGTTGCACTTGCAGGGGTCTTTACTGTACACCACAGCCATGTTAGGTTTCTCCACACTGGACGGTCCTGCAATTCCCGTTGAGATGGAGTCACGAGGCCGAATAGAGGAAGCATCGGGGAAGGATAGGGACATAGCTCCGAAGTTATGAAACCGACTACACGTTGCTTATGGCCTCTAGGCCCTTTATTTCGCACGTGCAGATGGGATAGCGTCCCCGGCACTGATAGATTGCCGGTAATGGGTTTCCCGGGACTTCCCTAATCCGTCACGGCAGCGGTACCAGTTGGCGAGCTTGGTAGGGAACGGGACGGGGGGAACACAGCTAACTGGGAACTAAAGGTTCACACAGTGATGCCCCCAATCGCAAGGAACAGGACTACTACTACCTACGGATGAAAACTTGTCAGCATGTCTATACAACAGGTTATATATATCCTCTAGGATGTCGCGTTTCCCCATACATGTCAAACTCCATACTCAACGCTAACTTTTTTTTTTTAATTCTCCGACCGGACTTGTTGCACATCTCGAAGGTCGCAAGCATTTCCTAAACCAGGTCTCTCGAGTGAGGGATACCAAGTTCTCGAATAAACGTCAATGCTGGCAGGTTCCCTGGGTTGCATTGTTGGTGTAGTAATTGTCGAACCATGGCTCCGTCGATCCGTCAACGGCTAATTTTTTTTTTTTTTTATCTTTTTTTCTTTTCTTTTCTTTTCTCTTTTCTAGGTGGGAGGAACCTATTTTTGGTGTTTCCTGCCAGGCACATACACACACACCTCACGCAAACGCGCGCAAGCCCTTGACACTTCGTACATCAATCATCGCCGACAAACCTTGGGTTAGGCCAGCCAAGGCGACGCAAAAGACTCGAGCGAAAGGAGACAAGCCAAGCATCGACCGTAATAACGCATTCGTTGGGGTCTTGGTACAGGAAAGGTAAGAAACACCTCATAGCCTTCATCCAGTTCCATGATAATTGCAGGCATCCCAACGAAGTTTCAAGAGGCGGGGGCACCGTACCGTACAATCTAGACGTACAGTGTACCCTCCCTTGGAACTTAGTAAGGTGGAAGCTGAAAAGCTCAAAGCGTCATGGTGGTATCCTTGAGCTTCTCGAAGTGGATGTCGGGCAATTTCTCATTCGCTGCACGCTAGCTGCAGGAGCGTCACACTGAATGGCACAAGAAAAGAGAGTTTCAACTTACAAACCAGGGAAGCTCACATTCATACACCCCGAGACACCGCAATATACGCAGACGTCGACCAGAGTCCAGTAGGCGCGCATATGCGCCAGAGCCACGGGGCGCTCGCTCTCTTAAGTTGTCCGGTTCGAAATCGGTGCGGTTCGGTCAATACGTCGTAAGGATAAGGTGTCTGTTCAGCGAAGGATCAATCGGGAAGAATCACCGTACCCCCCTCCCCTCTTTCTCTTTTTACAAAGTCAAGGCATCAAGCCTGAAGACTATGTACTAGTGACCGTACATATATCGATCAGCCATATGTATATAATGGCAGTAACGATCAACCTTGGTGCTACGGGTTCGACCAGACAATTGATTACATAACACAACGAAGTCGTTAGTTTTACCCCTGCTTGACAGCCCTGTCAGACCTTGTCTGACACCCCTTGACAGCCATTCGGCACCTCTGACACTCCTTGCTAGCTCTTTTTTTAACACGAGTGTCACCAGTACCTCCAAGTAGGTATGTAATCCGGAACAGAACCTTGCAAAGTGGAAGTTATGTATTCCGTCATATGTATCCGCACCCGGCCCGGACTTTTAGTGATTCGTTTCAAAATCCAATAGTGAGTAAGAAGTTCAGTTATGACCGGACGGTATAAGCGGAAGTATGGTTATGATTATGGTATATTGGTCGTCGCCGTGTTGGAGCAAGTCCGGGTCCGGGTACGGTGACAGACATGGAAACCGACTGACAAGTTCGTGACAGTGACAGTGACAGTGACAGTGACAGTGGACGGGACGAAGGAAGGGAGCACAGTGGCTCTTGTACACTACATACAGACTTATGACGTTGCTTAATTGTAGGGCTGCACTTAGTGAGTCGAGATCCCTGTCACTCAGCGTGAGCTTCGGCACGAAGCCCAAAATGGTTTGGCGTAACCGAAGACCGGGGCCCCAGAGAAGAGAGCAATTGAGATCCAGGATGGTCCAAGGGGTGGAGAAGACCTTCTTCATCGAACGAACAGAACGACATCCTCCTGTCTTTCCCCCTTTGTTCTTTTTCCTTCGCCGTTCCCACCCAATATTATATTGACTTGAAACACATCATTTCAGTGGATCAATACCACCTTCCACTTTACCTCTACTGCTTCTTCGAGGCACTTCGTCACAACGGTACCAGACTTTGTAGATTTGGGACAGACGACACCGACAGTGACTGCAGCAACCCTAGGTCCGGCGTTCACCACAACAACAACAACCACAACTTCTGGTACACTATGCTACACCGAACCCAATGTTCCATTCTTGAACCCTACTTACTCTACTTGGTACAGAATCTGTAGAGTTACCGTGACGTCTCGTGTTGGTGTTGCCCCCCTCTCCCCTCGGGCCGGGAATGTTGTGACCTGTGATACTGATCTGATCCGTGAACCCGCGGCGGACCAAGACAAATCTGGACCTGGCAAGCGACTGAAGACGACACGCGGCAAGTCTTACACGGACGGCTTATTCCCAGAAGGGAATTGTCCCCCCCCCCCCCCACCCTCTTTCGGCTCCGAGCCCGGGATTGCGGGAACCGGATCTTGATCCCGGAGCAATGTGTCACTTCACCAATGACAAACAGGGACAGACAGCCCGGTTTAACCTCAAACCTCAGGCTGTCCAGGTATCACATGTCGCTGTCTTCCATGTCTACAGTGGTAGCGTGGGCGTGACAGGTATGACATGATGCAGTTGAGCCACCTACAAGGTCCGAGAGCCAAACGACGAAGTGGAATGGAAAGATAATCCAAATCGTGTCTGGGTTCTACCCAGTCTCAGACAGAAGAGCCAGCTCCTGTACCTAGAGGTCGATCTCCCAGGTTAGGAGAGCATCATGTAGCGTAATTTGGGCGCGAGGAATGTATGCCCTTACGGCCCATATTGCACGACTACAAGGCGAAGAAGGCTAGGCCCAATTTCCAGCCATTCCTCGTCTTCCGCTTCCCGCTCTCCATCCGTTGCCGCTGTCTAACGTTGCTCACCACGTCTGTGGCGAAGAGTCTCGCCCAAGAACGGTGTAAGAGCACAGGTGTTTATTAGGGAAAATTGTCACGGGTGTCAGTCATGGACTTTGCTTAGCATGGATGCGAGTCCGATCGCTCTCTTTCTCGGTTCAGGGAAGAGTTTGACTGCGGCCGTCATGACCACGGCCAGTTTCACTGATTGTAGCCTGTTCATGGACATATCTGTCTGAGTCATTTTCAATTAATCATGAGCGGGTAAACATGTGCGCAGATTCCATATCAAGATCCAGTTACAAGCCGGGTTGAGGCTCACCGAGAGGCAGAAACAGCTGTTCAAGTCCACGTCCAGGGCAAACCAACAAAACAGTACACGGGTCTCTTACCATCTACCGTCAGAGCATGGCCATGCCTCGCTAGTACTTGCGAGGTTGCCTTGCCTTGCGGCTCCCTTGATGTTTATGTCCAAATGAAGAAATTGCAAATTCACCCAGCTGAGCTCTGTTGGGCAGTGGAGGACATTTATCCGGGTAAACAAGCTCTTGAGTCTGGATTTGGGCTCTCATGTACGCCACGAAACGGCGGAAGCGAGATCATCTTCCTTAACGGTATTGCTGTCTCGTCCGTCTCGTTGAAATAACCGCGCTCCTGCACGCGACCGCGGAAACGGGGCGGCACGTTTGCCTCGAGGTAATTGTGATCTTTGACGAACGCGTACAAGACACCGGTTGTTTTCCCTTCTCTCTACGCGAATGGAAGCAAAACTACAGAAATGTATTAGCTCCTTGCTGATTACTTTATCGCCGGCCCTTATTCCCTATTTTTCGCTTTAAGAAGTGCAGTTTAGGTGCCGTATCTTCTTTATTAGTACACACATACCGTTGTTGTGTTGTATAGTCATTGATTTGTGTTAAATTTACATCTCCTCGACAAAAGGAGAAGGTGTAAGAATAAGATGAATATGTGGAACAAAGTTATTTCTTCGTCAGTACCTAGCTTAGCATAACTCTGTACCGTCGTTGTTTTGCATCTTGCGTCAATGTATCGCAGCAAAACAGCATGGAAAATATAAGCTTCACAACCTACTACATACCTCTAGGTAAGCGAGCATCACCCAAGCTGGTGGCCCCATATCCCCAAAGACACAGATAGAAGTAGCTGAAACAAGGCTTCAATTTTCGGTCACTATAACCACTGGGCTGTGGTTGTGCTCTCTAACTATTAGGCATTCATACCGGTCAACGAAAATTCAGACGGTATCGTCGCATCCATCTATCTACCTGTAAAGATAGATGAACTCACACTCCTCATATAGTAGGCGAGAGGGGGTTCAAGAGCCAAGCTCTCGCGTGGATGAAGACAGCAAGAATCCAGAGATAGCCCTTGCCGTTGCTGTAGCTGGCAATGATGACAACTGAGGGAAAGGTCAGGAGGAGAAGAATATAGAAGACGAACTCCGGACCCAACCTCGTCCGGGTTGTCCTTGTACCAGTTTTTTTTTTTTTTTTTTTTGCTTTTTAGTTTTTTTTCCGAGTGACTCTGGTGGTGTTGGTGTGAAATGATAGGCCTTGTGTCTGCTGCTGAGTGATGATGGTAACAGAGACAAAAGGTGATGGAAGTAGCCAAACCCCTCCCTCCATCCGCCTTTGCCTCCGCCTTGATCCTGCTGTCTCTTTTCACCACGGCCTGCCCCGTCCTCAGCCCTGGTCTTAACCCCTCGTTTTCTTCCCTTCTCTTCTTCTCTCTGCTTCTTCTTGGTATTTTTTTTTTTTTTTCCATCCATACACCTCGTCGTCAACACCAATAAACAAATCAACACTATCCCATCAATTACTCATCCCGATGATGTTGTCTATGCTAGGTGTAATATTTTGTTGCTGTGACTCAGATGGGTGGTTTTCTCTTCCATTCTTCCCTACTCCTCCTTCTCTTCATCCAACCCCAGCGCTTTTCATGGCATTCACAAGCGAAGGAGTCGTATGCGGAGTGACGAGGTAATCGGTGGTGGTTGGACAGCTGTTGCAACCGAAGCGAAGCTCGGAAATGGCGCAGTGGGAGTTGTTTCCTGCGTTGCAGAATCCGTACAGCCCGTCTCCTCGCAGATCAAAGTCGTACATTTGCCCCAAAGGTGTTCGTGGATGCCGGTGCGGTGGCCGCAAGCGCACAGGCGGAGGGCGTATTTCCAGCTGTCGGTGCCGTTTTAGTCATCCAAAGAGGAAGAGAACGATGATGAGGAAGAGTAGCGTTTCGATAACAGAGGGTGAAAAGGATTGTTCTGGTGGATGGGGTGAAATGAACGGGCCCGTAGTGATAGTGAAGGAGAGTGAGGGAAGAAGTTAATATATGGTGAGTAGTCAATGCTGGTCGATGAAGGGGCGCTATTGCCACCAGCGTCTATGAGCTGGCTTCGTGGAAGAGAAAATGCTTGAGGTTGAAGAAGCGGGTGTCGTGATAACTGTGACGGATACCGCTGCCGACTTCGAAATTTGGAAACTTTTCGAGGACGTGTAAATCTTACAGCGCCGCGCTGTCGGATTTGGGAAATGCACATAGAACAGTGTAGCGCCTGTTACCGTTGCAAGTGACCACCGAAGAAAACTAGACAAACCAGTACGTATTCAGTGTAGCTGAATCGAGAAGAGTAGTCCTTGTTGCACCTTGTCACCGGTTTCATATCATTTGGCGTCCTTCTCGTCGTCAGATACCGCAAGTCCAAAATTGTGAAGGCATCGTCGAAACAAGTGACAAGGGATCAAAGAGCAAAACATACAATGGCGTCAGGAACCAATATGTGAGACCAGCAGCAGCAGTGGGGAACAGGTGTTAAGAGAAACGTATAGTGATAGAGAATGAAGAACGAAAGTCCCATAGAGTTCTCGATCCAGGCTAAAACTAAAGCAATGAACTCGGGCCGGATTAGTGAGTCAAAATATACTTGCGGTCGGTTTCAACCAAAACCGGAAAGACGAATCCCAGTATCCAAAAACAAAAAAATAAGAAAAAGTAGCCGAAAAACCGAACACGAAGGGTATCTATCCGGAAGCGCAAAGAGAGCAACATCGAAGCTGAGCAAAGGGTATAACAGCAGCGCTAGAGGAAAGAAAATATAATAACGCAGAGGGCAAAAGGCAAACGAGTGAAGGTAGCAGAGAGACCGCGCACAGAACCCCCCTCCTGATCACTCTGCATGCCCGTCCAGCCCGTCACCTTATCAGCGGCTTTGCCCAAAACAAACAGCACCCGTACCCGATCCAAAACTTAGAACCCAAACTCGTTCGTATCTGAAGGACGTTAAGCCCGGCCGACTCATCTCATCCGTCTGTCCGCTCATCTGTCCCTTTTTTTCTGATGTGCCCTCCACTCTGTTCGTGCTACCTTCATTAGTAGGTCCTCATCCTTAACTGGTATCCACGATGTAAGTGTTTTCATTGCGTTTTCGAAATCCGCATCCAGCAACACGTCCCTCATGGCGTGAATCAGCGCAGCACTCGTAGCGTGGAGGATATCAAGACCTCGCGGCACTTCTGCAGCTGTTTGGTTTAGATGTCGTTTACTCCTACGCTCGCTCAACTTTGCCAGGAAGCTTTTCTCCTTATTAGTCTTGGATGTTTGCTGAGTATCGGCGTGTTGTAAGTGTGGTGTCACCTCTCCGGAGTCTCTTGCGGAAACCTGAGGGCCCAATTCCCCTTCAGGCGGGCATTCTCCCAGGAGCATAAAGATATCCCAGACACGGAGCTGAGCAGCAAATGGTATTGACAGGTTGAATAGTGTAAGATACCACCTTGTCCCATATGCCGTCGGATCAATGGCTAATTCAGTCTACAAGACAATAATTTGTTAGCACAGCGCCAAAGGAAAAAAAAGAAAAAAAAATAGAAAGAAAGAAAAAAAGAAAAAAAGAAAAGAAAAGAGAAACCGCAAGCGTTCTGAAGCTTAAAAACGTACAAGTTTGGAAGCAACGTCCTTTCCCGCAAGCCAATGTTTCTCAAAGTCGTCCAGGGTGGAAAGGAGCCCTTCGAAATTTGGCGAATACAGCCTCGAAAGCCCACGATACCTCCAAAGGCGAACCATCATGATAAAACACCTCTCCTCGTCATAGTAGCATAGCAACGTGGCTGCTAGAGGAGCCATTCCTTGGACATAGCCGGTATCGGGGAAATATAATGAAATGGCGTGTAGAACGCGGAACAGTAGACGCTGGCCCCCACGGTATCGCTTCCGGAACATGATGTGACCATTGACCGTCCTGGGAACGTCGAGATCAATCTGCACGTCGTCGGGTGAACTGATGTCCTGCAATCTCTGAAACGCTGTGATTAGCACCCCATCAGTTTCGGGACTATTGGCATTCTTTGCACTTGTTGCGAGGAAGGAGAACCAAGCTGCGGAGCGCCAGCAATCTGGAATTCCTTTCCAAGTGCGCTCGATAAGCTTGGGGTTCTTCGTGTCGAACTCAAAGTTCATGCCTTGGCCTTGACCTTGACCTTGGCCTTGACTTTCGCGGCGGGCTTGGCCCTCACCGCCGTCTTCCAGCGGGAATCTCTGAATGACCTTTGCCATTTTCCTCCACTTTTCGGACCGTTCCAACTCTTTCTTCTTCAGGGCTTCGGTGCTTTTCTTGCCCGTCATCTTAGCTGCGTATTCCAGGATGTCGGTCAACCCCCCCGCCGGAAACGCTAGCATATCCCCAGCCTCGTCCATCCATCGCCGGTCCCGGTTGGGTGGTAGGTGATTGGCGATGGACCGGAAAGACGATCGTGTAGATCTTCGGGATGCGTTTGAATATGCCGAGTCAAAAGTGTGTAGGGATCGCGCGGACACCTTTCTGCTCGGCGGGCCTCCAACAAGGCCTTGACCGAGGGGTGACGAGGAATAAGCCGAACCGGGCCGTTTCGTCAACACGTTTCTTCTCCTAGGTGAGAAGTGTCTTGACCTGGATCCTGGCCTGACTGTCCTGCTCGTCTCTGGCCTGTAGCTGGTTTCTCGCCTTGCTGGCCTCTCCTTGATGAAGCCATAGCGGTCAACTTCAACTCCATCCAGATTCTCCCAATCTTCTAGCCCGCCGGCGCGTTCGTGCTCGCCCCATCTCCTAGCACCAGGCCGGTGATAGCTGGCAGCATCATCCCGTAGCGACGAAGAACTGACCCAGGGTGCTGTGGGCGGTGTTGGCGCAATGTGGCTCGCGGCCCAGTCGCTCGAGGACAGAACATGTAATCGGGGAGGGTCTCTAAGAAGAGGTACGGGTTAGCAGCGCATGGTGAGGTCTGTGTCTTGGTTCAAAAGGAAAGCCGTACACAACATCTGATGGGTCTCCCTCTGAGGGTAGAGGCGGAATATCGCCAGCGAACGAGACGCGCCGCCCGCCATCTAGCCAACCATCGCTGGATTCATAGAGCGATCTCACCTTTTGTGATTCCCTCTCTACGTCCATGGGCATAACGCGGATACTGGGCAGCGGGGCGGAGGGCGACGTCGGGTCTTCATTGATGGCGATGGATGGGCGTGTTAGCCCCGAGGCGTCACTGAGGCGCGATGATTTGGAGCTGGCTGTCTCTGTCTCCCTTTCCCCTTGGTTGTCCGTCTCATGGTGGTGGTCCAAGTCTGCTGCTGCTGCTGCTTCTGCTGCTGCTAGTAGAGGTTCTGTTGGTGGTGGTGGTGGTGATGGTGTGGTTGGTGTTGCTGCTTCTGCTGCTGCTGCTGCTGCTGCATGCGCCGTGCTGGTAGGTGTAGGAGGAGTAGGGCCGTCGGTTCCCTGTGCTGCTGCGTCTGCCAGCTCGTCGTCTCGTTGCGTGCTGTTGTCGACCGGAGCCTGCCCGCCAAACATGATACTGCCGCGGCTTGAAAAGTACAAGTTGCCAAAGTCGACTGCAAGACGGTCCTGGGAGATGAGCGTGTTAATTGGACTGAAGGGGCCGTGGACATTGTCAGCTCCAAGACTGGTTGGGGCAGGGGAACTAAAAGAACCAGTGGAAGCAATGCCCAGAGCCTGGGAGGGCTGGCTGGTGTCTGGCCCCTTGCCCGGCCTGCTAGCGCCGACGGTGACGGCCAAGGAGTTGCCGGTTGATGAGCCACCTGCGCTACCGTGCTGCGGGCGTGGGGGACTTTGCAGCGTCTTGGGTGATTTGGATGAACCAAGCGAGCCCCGCATGGCGGCGGTAGAAGCACTGGCAGACGCTCTAGCGTAAGGGGTACTGCCGGGGGGGAACGTGCTAGATGAGGCCGTCGACTCCCTGGAGGATCCATCCGCTTCGGGAAATGCAACCTGGTCCCTGTCGTCCTCTCCGCCAACCGATCCAAGGGCCCTTTTCCGCCTTCTGATCCTGCTTGTCTCCATCATCGACTTCGACCGGACACTGGCCCGGATGCTGAATGTCGTCGTGCCAGCTATCGATCTTGACGCTCTTATCAATGACCGTAATGTCGCCGGCGCCGGCGATAGCGCCAAAGCTCTTGCGGTTGCTAAAGGAATGCACAGCTCGGCCGCGACGATCCCTGATGTTTCTATTTCCGGCTTGTGCACGCCCTTGTCGTCGTCATCACTTTCTTTGACGTCAGTCGCAAATTCTGAGCAGGGGCTATCCAACGCCTTCTCAATGCTCTTTGAATCAGGCAAAATGCCGTCGCGCTCGCTATCGCCCCGTAGCGTGATAGACGATAAGGTCGGCGCGCACGAATCCCTCTTTGACTCGACGTCGCCCACGATGCTGACGGCCGGTGGGTCGGGACGGAGATGAGGCTCTAGTCGAAAGAGCGGGTGGTCTTCCGGCGGTGGCGGGATTGCTGGGCAGACAGCAACAGTGGGAGTGGTCGAGGCGCGCGGACGAATCGAGACGCAACGAGGAGGTAGTGGCGGGAGCAGAATGGGCGGTTGTGCCTGTTTTGTCTGTTCATAACGGACGCCCACCGGATCAGGGTGGTTGTCTCTAACCGACGACAGTCGCCGACTTCTCAACCTTACACTTGGCCTGTGGCGCACACTTGCCGTCCTCAGCGGTGCCATGTGTGAGGCACGCGACGAACGAGGAGCAATGGGAGGGTCGGGTTATACGAGAACAGGGTTGACTATGCCGGGATGGCCGCTTGTTTGCTGCTCTTTGCCGCCCTGGGGCGGCCTTCAGAACGTGGCGGCTGATGGTTACCTCTATAGCGGTGGCTAGGTAAGGTGGAAATGGTGGGAGTGGGCAGTACTGATGATCCGGGTATCGTGTCACCTTGCTGCGGTCTTGTGACACTTGTGTGTCTGACGTTGAACAGTCGAGGCTCAGAGTTCCTGCACAGAAGAGGCAGAAACCAACAAGAAGGTTGCGAACAGCAGAAAACAGGATATCATCAAGGAGGCGGCGTGTATAAATTCGGGGGCGGCGTCCAGGTTGTAGTCCGGCTATGATGATGCAGTGTCCGAGGCCGCGGCGACATCGATAATAGCACGACTACCTAAAGATAATCCTCGGATGAGATTGCTGACTTACAGTCCCTGAAACTGGAGGGTATGACGAACAAAGGGGAAATATTCAAGGTTGATGGATGGGGAATAGCATCTCCTTTAAGAGCCATCCCGGGTACAGGGCAGGAAGGAGAGACAATAAGATAGGCATCGCCAAGTGGGAGGAAAAGGCACTGAACCTTTCCTCCCTTCTCCATGTCGAATCCTCCTTCCGGCCCTTTCTCACCGGACTCACATGTACCCCTCCAGGCCGCTGAAGTGAAACGAAGTACTCGGCCTACAGTCCACCATCGGTTTTATTTGATCCAGCCAATGCGCGAGCAGCAACCCAAAAGCTTCTAGACATCATCTTACTCCCTGCCTTGGGTACTCGCGAAAGTATTTCTCCGATGATGGCGGTCATCGCGCTTCCATGTGGGGGTTCATGCCGCCGCCACTTTTTGCCAACTCTTGCTCGAAATCTGAAGTTGACAAGGACAGACGCCCGTACGTCCACAACGCCGTGGGCACAACTTGCTCCAAGTACGCTACCCAACGGGATGAACATGTCCCTGTAGGTAATGAGGACTGCGGGTGCGGGCCGGCGAGAATGCTACCCTCCGATCACAAATGATCTCGACTGAGACACCTGGGGTCGATCAACATCTCAAAGCACACCACGAGCCGAGCAAGTCCAACGGTTGCCCGCCCAGAGTACCTGATCAAAGCTAGCTTCGGCGTCGCTCGCGATGTGGCATGGAAATCTAACAAGCCGTGGACAAGTGAGACAAAGCCGGAGAAGAGGACTGCGCGCTTGTGAACTCATATGGTCCCCTATGCCGCAGGTCGCAGATCACAACCAACAAGTAACATGATATCAGATACAAAGGCGACAACGCAATCTATCCAACTACCCGATTCATTCGATAACTATTACACACTTCAGACGACTTAGGATTTTGTGCCACTTGGGGTCCCAATACTACTTTGACTTCCCAACTTCCCCATCCCTATGACACAAGGCGACCAACATCTCTGTATCTGTGTACATACTAATGATGTACTTAACCGTTAGGCAGGCGGTCTACAGGCGGTAATCCGCCAACATCCGAGATGGAATCGCATCGAGTTTCCTGCCTATACCCCGCAAAGCAGGTGGTCTTGGATCATAGATGGACTCACAATACACAAGTGTGCAACTGCTCGTCCAATTTACTAGGTAGTGGTGGCAGCAGGAGGTACTTTTCTGGCATCTATTTGACAAACGGGTAACTAGTGTAACAGCCAGGTTCGTCTCACTACGTAGCCCCACACTATGTATAATGTCTACACTTTGTCGAAACTACATCTTCGGCTCCGGCCATGGCCAAGAAAAAGAAAAAATTACCACCGTTTCTTCCAATCGACTACTCCCGTTTCCGTCGGCTACCGACCGTAGCGTCTCAGACTTCCAATGCATTCGTCCCAAGCTAAACATCAGGCAGTCAAGCTATCAAGGTCTCAAAGTTTTCGAAACGGAATCTCGAGTGATATCGACATGGTGAGAGTAGACCAATCCCGTCCATATTGCATACCCTCCCCTCTCCTCCCCTCATCTTATATATAAAGCTTTCCATTCGTCGTATCACCCGTCAACCAACCAACATCCTCCTGTCCCTTGCATGAGAGCTTGCAGCCAAACGGACGCCAAGACGAACGATCCAAGCAACCAGCGGCACAGCACCAAGCCTAGTTTCCCACATGACCGCCATGTATCATCATTGTTCCCTTTTCTGAGAGATATCCTGGGCTCCGTAGTTTGACCTGAACTTCGATGTCATTCATGCGTTAAACTCCCCATTTAACCATTTTTCAAGCTAAGGCTTACCCTCAAGTTCAACAGACTGTATCATGAAATATCTACTCTCGAGTCAATGCACGATACGTTGCACAAGGTGATTAATACGTATCTACTACCATACTGCGCGGAACGTCGATAATAATCAAATTGTGTTGTACTTCGAATGCTGGGAGCAACTTAAATCATGCTCTCTCGTAACCCCCCTTCCATAAATAAGTCAGTATTGTGGTTATATTTCGCTCGTATCCCCTCTTCTATAAATAAAGTTAAGGTAGTCATATCTCGCTTCGCTCCTTTGATCCCCTCCCATGTCTCCATCACCACCCATCGACTTCGTTCCGGGACCCGATGCAGCCAACTCTACCAACCTGCCAACATATATCTCCTCACACAATTTATCACCACCTACTAGACCTCATTGTAACACTTTAATGTGATTATTCACTAGCTGACCCTTTTCTGTTCAATGTTTTCCCTTACAACCTCGGTACTTCAACGATCAGTCGAGATGATTATACTTTCACATATCCCGCCGCAATGTAGGCAATTCCGTTAGGTACGTCTTTGTCTCTCTCCCTCTCTGTTTATAAACCAGCCAGTAAGAACCTCAGCCTACCCAACCACAATGCCCGAACAATCTCCCATCGAGCAGCTACGCATCGACCATGTCTGTACTAAGCCACTATTGTAACCCCGCATTATGTAGAAAAATATTCTTATTAAAACTTCTTTCATAGTGGCTGCTACCCTACCCTACTCTCCCGCAACACACGTGTGTTGTGCCGCTTCCTCGTAATCTAAACCTCCTCATTCTCCCAATCCTCCTCCCCAAACAGCGGCGGTCCTTTCCTCCCTCCACTAGTCGCCGCCTCAAACTTATCCAAAAACTCGGGCGGGATAGTCGGTATGTACTTTCGTTCCCTCTCCCTGTTCACGCCGCCGAACCCGGCCCCGTAGCTGACCAGCATGTCCGTCATGCTGGGTAGAGTAAAGGGCAGCATAAAAGCCGGATCAAGAAGCAAGTTAGCCGGCGCGTCCTCATCGTCTTCGTCGCCTTCCCCGTCACCGCCTCCGGGACCCTCGGAAGACGACGTGGCGCCGCCTGGGGTGGACGCCCAGGGACTGCCGTTGATGGACCTGCTGATGGGCGTCACCGGCGTGCTAACACTGCCATCGCCTACCCGCTCCTTGATGGACGATGTGACTGACAACTGCGACATTTGCGACTCGCGTTTGCGCTCCTTACGCATGGCCTGCAGGGCCGTGAGGTACTTCATGGCACTCTTGGGAAGGCCCTTTTCGCCAACCTCGGAGCGGTAGTGCGTCGCGGCGTGAATAAGTTGCTGGGGGCTCAGCGCCTTGAGCTGCTGGAGAGTACCGATCAGGGCCTCAAGGTCGTCGGCGCCCAGCGACGAAAGTACTTGCAGCCACTGGAGGAGCTGAATGACGGGGGCAAGGTGGCGGCGCGTTGCCTCCATGGTGGTCTCGCCGCTCGACTTCATCTCGCCGCCCTCGTAGTGCTCGGGTTGCCGATTGTTCGTACGAGCCCAGTCCTCCAGGGCCGAAATATTCATGCGGATCTGCATGGCCTTGGTGCGCGCCAAGTACTTGCGACTGGACATTATGCGGTTGAAGAGCTCGGCGCCGAGCCAGTATATCAGTTGTGAGATGACCTGTGCCGTAATCACTGAGTGGACATCATACAGGTCCAGGACAAATAGTGTAGAGGAGAGTAGTGATGTCACGTTCCGCGGAGACGGCTTCGCCCTCTGCTTGGGGGACGGCGGCCTGAAGCGCTTCTCCATGGGCGGTTCCTTCACCTCCTTCTTGCGCTTGAAAATCGTCCACTCATTCTGGAAGGTGATGTTTTCGAAGCCGGGGATTGTTTCGTGGTCCAACATGCCAGCATCCAGCACCTTGTCAAGACGTCTCTCTGCATCCCGGACAATGAGAATGAAGATCTCGTTGATCAGCTCTGAAAGCTGCGCCTGGAACTCGGTGGTCGCTTCTACCAAGCCGGCATCCTTCTTGAGGTAATGTAGCAAGAGGGTCGCGTTGGATGCCCAAAAAGCCAGAATAGTCATATCCCACTGATATCTCTCCACGACATTGTTGATCTTATCCATGGCAGTAATCAATAGCTTTGCTAACAGTTCACGGCTGGCATGGTAATGCGCATATCGAGCCCCCAGGAAGATCATGTTCGCGGGCACAGGTTTTTGTGATGGTGATCGTTGCGGGGTCATGTTGGTGATGACAATGTCCAGGATGCTGTCCAGCTCGCTCTCCTGGAAGACAAACATTTGATCGTGGAGACACCTCGCCCAGTCGAACTCTTGCTGCTCTTCCTCAAATTCGTCAATAGGCTAGCGCATGGTCAGCATAGCAATATGGTGTGAGCGGGTTTGAATTCCTTGGTGGAGGGGAGTGCGAACCTCGGGTTGGTCGTCCATGCCCACGTTCCCTAGATCAACTTCCAGATCACGAGCACTCTCCATCATCATTCTCCTGCGCATCTCATTCTCGGCCAACTCTTCCTCGAATTTGTCTTGAGAAAAGCCTGGATTGTAAAAGTCGTCGGCACCAGCCGTGCCAATGCTATATCCGCTGTCGTGGAGATAGAAAGACATGTCGCTGTCCGGGGCAACAAAGTCGAATGCAGTTCGTCCTGTAGAGGTCTTCTTCTCGGGAGAAGCGCCGTTGTCGAGTAGTAGCTTTGCAATGCCCTTGTGTCGATTGGTCATAGCCCACATAAGCGCGCTCCATTGATTGCGGTCTTGCTTGTCGACATCAGCTCCTGCGTCGAGAAGGACTTGTACTGTGGACTCGTGTCCCTGTTGCATAGTTCTGTTAGTAAAACCTTCCCATGCATTCGGTCTGATGTGGGGACAGAGCCAACTTACAAAACAGCTTGCGTAGATCAGGGCCGGTGTTCCTTCTTCATCCGGCGCATTGAGATCTACGTATTGTCTAGCTGGGCCATCTAGGATTTTACGGACAGACTCGACATTGCCATTGCTTGCAGCCATAATGAAGGCTCTTTGGAGGACATCCTTCTTCTCGTCCTGCGGCATCTTGTCGTCGTTGGCGATCTGATTCTCATCCTCAAATATTGCGCTAGCCGAATGTGCGGCCTGCGCAGCCAGCATCTCCATCAATCTAGTCTCGCTTTCGGCCCCGCCCTTGGTGATGTCCTCGTCGAACTGGGGGTCGTCAAGATTAAGGTTGCTAAAGCTCAAAGGCTTGGCCGGTATGGGTGTTGTCAAGAACTGTGATTGTCCTGATGAGACGGAGAGTCAGTACGAGGGCTGGCCAGTCCGAGACATGAAGCGAGGAATGATAGGTTCTATAGAGTAGACAAGGGGTAACCGACCTTGCCATCCGTCATACATCTCCGTCTCTGTGACCAAGTGTTCGTTAGGAGCATGTCTCCTGTCATCGAGGGAGCGCGGTAGATCGGGGGGCAACTGCTGTTTCTTTTGCTGCTGTGGTTCATATCCTCCCCCGTCGTTTCCAAAACCTCCTTCGTCTCCGCCGCCGGCACCGAAGCCGCCATCGAAGCCCCCGTTATCCATTGGTACGGGTCGAGCGTAGCATGCGGCGAGCGGTGTCGGGTCTGAGCGCAGGTCAACCAAAGCGGCGGGTTGTTCTTCGGGCAAGGCTATAACGTCAGCGTAGGAAATTGTATCCAAAGATGTCGGTCGAAGTCGGACTGAATTCAGCGCACTGCGGCCGAGGATGAGGGTTCAGGGCAGGCCAGGACTTGGTCGGTGTAGAGTTGGGAGAGCAGGCGGAATGCAAAGAAGGTGACGTTGCTTTAGCTGGCTGAAGAAACCTAGTAAGGAAGAGGAAGTGACAATAAATCTCGACCAGGTAATTCCTGTTAGGGGTTCAGTTCAAGCGACAGCCTGGAGTTGCGCCACGGAAGCAGGGCACCCAGGACTTGTCTATTCGTACTGCACTTGGTGGTCAACGCAGGAAGGACAGAGACGGTGGACGTATTGATGCCCTCGGTTGCTTCAAGTTAGGCCCCCCCACTGACGTTACCACTGTACTACCGCTGTTATCGATGTTACGGCGGTCCGTGCTTTTATACCTGTAGGTAAGGTAGTGACCTCCGCTTCAATGTCACAACTTTTGGATTATATCATGTTCAACAGCGCGGAATGACAGCTTGACAGCAACGTATTGGAAAGCTCCATGAGCGGTTGATTAACCCGATGTATTGCTGTGCGATTCCTGGACGACGCGTCCTAAGATCTGAGGTCACCCAAGTACAAACGTCGGTGAGGGCATCTCGACCGGTAGTTTGTGGGGAAATAAGGACCCTGATTGTTATCGACCCTAGCGAGGAGCTAGCGAACTTTACTTCTGGGGTGCCGACTGCTCTATGTACTCAAATTTAAGCTTCGCAACAACCTCGTCTCGTGGGCAGCCGTGCATCCATCTAATTTTATTCTACGACGAAAGCTGATTGAGAATTAGACTTTGTGACTTAAGCGCAGATAATCAAAGATCTGAGAGATTTCAATTCTTCGCGCTCAAATGACTGCACTTGCACTTGCCCATCCCACCAAATGAGGTCCTCCCCCTTTTTATGTGGATCGCTCGCTGTTCATGGCTCCCCGTAAATGCTGCCCTCACCGAATAATTGCCTTCAGATATATAGCTTGGTAATTTCTTAAACAGCCCTCTTCGCAAACACCCGCAGTCTTTTCACTCCGCCGTCAGGCACAATGATGAGCTTGACGTGGGTGAACGGCTTGTCCTTCACCAAGCTCTCGACAGGGTGTTCCTGATCGGGACCGCACTTGATGGGCTCAACAACCTCTGTCCAGCCCTCAGCATCTGCTCCCGGCTCGCCCTCGCTCTTGCACTCGATAGCTTGCAGCTTGACCTGCTGGGGGTAGTTACCGCGGAAGTGGGCCGTGTCGACGATGAAGTTCTGGATGTAGCCGGGCGCGCCGAGTCTGATGATGGTCCAGTCGACGTGGCCCTTGGTGCGCGAGCGTGCTGTCTCCCAACCGTCGCCCATGTCCTTGCCGCGGCCCGGAAGGATAAGGTTGTCCTTGGTACCAAAGTGCTGGTCACTGCAGGAAATTGCAACTCCGCCGTTCTGGGCAGCCGCCAAGTCAAAGATGGCATCCGTAGCGTCGGGGAAGACCGGTACGGCGTGTCCAAATAGACGGAACCTGGCAATGCCGCCGTCGGGGTACATGTTTAGTCGCACATGGGTGTACTGCTTCTTGGTGGGGTTCTCGAGTTTCCAGCCGAATCTCTGCGAAGGGCCGCACTCCTGAACACCAAGAATAGTCTCCCATCCACCACGCTCGCCCTTCCATGACAGAACCTCATCGTCGTTTTGGCTGAAGCAACCCTCGACCGAGATGGCGGGCGCATGGTTGCCGTTGAAGAAAGCCGTGTCAATCTCGACACCCTCGACGGTACCCGAGGCGACGCCCAGACGGATCACAACCCAGTCGAACTCGGCGGGGTTGTGTCTCCTTGTCTCCCATCCGTCATACCAGGCGCCGGTGTAAACCATCTTTCCAGGCTGGCGGATAGGGGCTGTAGGAGTGAGGAGATTGGCTGCTTCGGCGAACCATTCGTCCGAGAAACCGAGAACCTTGCCACCGAGAGCCCCCGAGATAAGATCTGTATCTCAGCTCGACTTCCGTTAGTTGAAAGGTTTGGGTTGCCATGTTTGGTGAGATGGATGCTACGGACCGATGGTGCTGGAACGGAAAGTTTTGTCGATATCATCGGCGGCAATCCGAGTGGCCGGAACAGCCTCGAGCTTGTAATCGATGTCGGTCATGGTGAGGGAAATGTGTATTTAAATAAGTGAGACTTCAGTCCTCGATGTTACAGAGAAAAAAAAAACAGAAAGGGAACGAGCGTCCTCGGGATAAACCAAGAGCAGGCGGCAGATTTTATATCACCACAGCAACAGACAGGAGCGATAGCTTAATCAAGATAGTGCGTTAGGGAGGTCAAAGTACGTAACAGCAACGACAATCGTGGTCCTTCTTCGTCGTACTCAACCGTCGTATTTGATCTACAACGAGAGTCACCGGCCGGCTCCGACACCGCTCCACTACCTAGTAACGATAGTTCCCTTGCTACAGGCTAGAGGTACGGCTCCTATTTCCGTCCTCCGCATTTCTCGGGAGGACCTGGTGCTAGCGAGGGAGGGGCCGGTCTTTTGGATTCCTATGGCACTACGCAGTACTGTACAGCAGTATAGCACAGTAGTACTAGTACCTCTACGCAGTGTACATTCCATACGGCGGGGTTTCGGGCGAGCACGTATCTCCCCGCCCGATAAAGCTTATGTGTGCACACCAAGTACCAGGTCAGAGCGGGCATCCAGCTCAAATGCCACACAGTGATGATGGTGTTGTGAACACGATACGCAGGGGTACTTAAGTAAGTATCTCGGCAGCTACAGTAGCAGTGCTCTCGTCTCACACTGTGTGCGGGTTTACTCACATGGCAAACGGAGTTGTGATTGGTGCGAGTTGTGTATAAAGTTAGTAGTGCAAGGACGGAGGAGCTTGGGGCATCTACAACCTCAGCTCTTTCAGCCAAAGCTCTTGTTGGTTTCGTCATCAGTGTTCGCAGCTACGCAATCACCTCCAAGCAAGTCGGTTGACTGTACGAATAACTGCTTGGTTTCTAGTATCTGCGTTGGTTCTGAAGGTTTCTGTACAATCTCAATTAGTAGTCGGTCTTCGGTACGCATCAATATTGTCATTGACAAGACGAACCGGAATCCAATGGACTTGCATCTCGCTCGTGCGCCTCGAAAGCGAACATGGCATCGTCGTGCCTCCTAGATGTCCGAACGTTTCTCTTCCCCTCATCACATCAGAGGAAGTGCCTTGATAATGTATGGCAGGGTACCGGCGTTGCTATCGGATTTGTGACCACGTTCACACCTGCTCAGATAAGCAACAGGTACCACCTACCCAAGGGTGCACCACTGCAAGCCGTCTCCTCCTCTTCCCTCCAGCCCTCTGAATAAAAAGACCACCTTCCCCGCGCCACCTGCTGGTCAAACTATCTTCCATCTTCTGTGGCTCGAAATACAGACTGAAACCAACCACAAGAATTCACCCACCTTGCATCAAGACGTCGGACATTACTTGCTTTAGACGCATGATACTTACTTAGGCTCGGCCACCGAAACAAGTGCCTTCATTGTCCGAGACTTGAAAAATAACTTGAAAAGAAGCTCACAACCATGGCTCCCTCGGAACCATCAACACAATCTCCTCCTCCCCTCAGCACAACTGATGATGAGCCCGCTGCCCCAACGGAAAGCGAACCACTACTTGGAGGACCAGGCGACGCTCTTCAAAAGCCAGACGCTCCTATCTTCTTGAACCTCGTTCTTGGTATGTCCACTCTACACTCCAAAGCACCAATGTGACCCTGCATTACTAAACCCCCACCTCCCATCCACAGGAACAGCCTGGCTCTCCCAACTTGGCGCTCTCCTCCTTCTCATAGCCACCTGGTCGGCCGTCTTCCTCCACAAGCTCGGCGCTCTCATCTCTCCACACCCATTGCTCCAATCCCTCGGCACCTTCCTCCTCATCCAAGCGATTCTAGTTCTCCAACCAACCTCCACCCCCGACGCCAAACGCCTCGGCCAGCGCATCCACGCCTCCCTCCACCTCCTCTCCTTCCTCTGCTTTGTTTCGGGAATTACCATCATCGAAACAAACAAACACGTCAACCACCTCGCCCACTTACACTCTCTGCACGCCTACCTGGGCGTGATCACTGGCACTTTGCTGTTAGCCCAGTACGTGTTTGGTATTTGTATCTGGGCTGTCCCCGCCGTGCTGGGAGGGGAAGAGAAGGCTAAAAGTCTGTGGAGGTATCATCGGTACGCTGGTTACGGACTGTTGGTGTTGGTGCTGGCTACCGTGGCCGCGGCGGCGGATACCGATTATAGTCGGAATGTGCTGAAGATCAAGGGGTGGACATTCGGATTGGGGATTGCACTGGTTGTGGTGGGAGTTTATCCGAGGGTGCAGTTGCGGAAATTGGGGATCAATACTGCTAGGCAGGAGGCCACACGTGCTGTTTAAGGTTTCTAGATAAGGAATATACCGAGGATCGAAGGGGGGGAAAAGGTTCGTGACGATGGGCGGCCCGGCTGAGGCTCTATTTAGGAGTGAGGGGCGCCTGCTGGAAGGGTTTTGGTTCGGTACTGTCCTCATGGTGTTTATGTTTTTCTTTGCTTTTCTTATGCACACGGTAATACGCTTTGGTCGCTGGGAACGTGGGAGAAATCAGGGAGATGATGTTTGTTACAAGGTTTGATGGGCACGACAAATCGGATTTATGGGACACCGCGATTATGGCTCTAATCATCTTTGCTTTCGATGAAAGCTACAAAACAGCGTTTGAACATTCAGTCTTTGCTGAGGATGTAATTGGTTGCGATCACTCAAGTTTACCAGCAAATGATTAGATCATGACCTGTGTGTGTATCTCATTCCTCGTCTGACTAGGGTATAAGTAAAAATAGTACGTAAATCCACGCTCCCCGCCCCAAAGCATCCCCGAGAAGCATCTCTCCCTTGGTATACATTTGTCGTAAATTTTCCCGTCGTACAGAGCGCCTCGAAGCCATCATCATTAAACACAAGCGGAACGTAACTGAACCCACCAAACAATCATAGAACCATGATAGAGTTCCGGCTTGTTTCATCCAGTCTTCCCGCTGCTCTTCCCTCCCCCTTTCTTCTTGTCTTGCCTGCTTCGACTCCGTGCCATCTTGCGTACGCCTTTTTCTATTCCCGCGTCGTCGTCCCCGTCTTTTTAGAAACATTCTTAATTAGGTTTGGTGCATGATAGTTGTCGTTAAGCGTCGTAAGTTGGTTTCTGCGGGTTGTCCAAACGACAGTGTAGACGGGCAATCCATAACCCAACAACCCGCTTGCCGTCCCGTCCCTCCTCGCTCTTTCTGTCCCTTCCCGCTCGCAAGAGCCGTTATTAAAGCAAACGTGTCGTGGTAATAGAAGAAGAAGAAGAAAAAGAAGAAGAAAAAAAAAAACATGTGATCGCTCTTTCGTGTCTTCATATCCGTTAGTGTATTTTTGCCGTTTTGCTTTTTTTCCTGTTGGGGGGTATATGTGCGAAGAAGGAGGTCTCGCCGCCGTCGTGAAGCAGAAAAGGGAAGGTGGTTCTCCTGTTCGGGATGAGCACCGGCAGAACCATGTCTATGGGACACCCACTTGCAAGCGCTCAAGTATCCCCAGAAACTCATCGTTGAATACCGTTGACCTCGGCTTTCGAGACTTCAACCTGTACTGGCCCTTCTATGGGAACTGGTTAGGCGGAACCGTCGGCCAATCGTCCTCGGTAATGCTGGACCAGAAGACCCAGTTCATTACTACCGCCAGGAGAGTAAAGAGGGTTTCAAAAAGCGCGCCATCTATCTTTCCAGATGTGCCGTCACAAATGTATTTGCTGACGACATAATTGAAGACTTGGCCTGCCGCGAAGAGGATCGCAGCAGAGGCCAGATAGAGCATCGGGCGCGTTTCGCCAAGAATCTTGATGACCAGGATGGCCTGCAGGACGAAGTAGGCGACCAAGAAAACAAGGGGCGCAAGCTGGTAAAGCACGTAGAGTGCAATGTGTCGGTTTTTGGGCAGCTCATAGCTACTATCCCAGTAGCCTGTCCAGTGCAGTCCAGTATCGAGAGCGATGTAACCAGTTCCGACAAGCAGAATCGCTGCAGAACCAACTATCAGAGCCAGTGAAAGCAGAGTGCCATCATCGAGCAGTTGGTAGCCGACGATTGCGTTGAGCATCAGTATCCAGGTAGTGGCGATGATGAAGCCGATGTGAATGGCTGTGAACGCCTGGGTGCGAGTCAGTCGAAACGAAACAAACCACGAGAAACTGCTTGCCGCTTTCTGCCCAGGCCAAACTTACGATGCGGACTGTAGAATTCAGCGGGAAATCTCCCACTGTAAAGATCTCACATATCGATATAACAATGTAGCCCAAGAGGAAGACTTGCATTTCTCTGCCGAGTTGTTAGTTATCATATCCCCAAGTTTTCGTCCGGTGATTTGGAACAAGCATACCGACGACCAACCGCAGCTCGTTTCCGCTCAGACCTGTAGAGCAGATACATAGAAGTAAGAATCGCAATTGCGCATAGCAGTATGGATCCTGCGCTGAGTCAGCACATGCTCGCGTTGATATCCATGCAACATACCTAGGTTCCCAAGCCTCTTTCCGTTCGACAGAGGTATTCCTCTCAACTGGCAATTATCCGAGCCGTCCCATGGTCCAGACTGGCTGTGTTTATCCGAGATGAGCTGTTTTCCCAAGAGATGGCCGTGGTAAGTCAGACTGAAGAGCAAACAGGGACGAGGGTCCGAGAGAACATGGTTCCGGGGCGCAGGAACCATCGTCTTCACCAGAGGGGGTAGGGCCCTACTCACATTGCAGATAGGAAGAGTCGAATCTCGACAGAAGTCCTGTAAACATGGAGGCGCCAAGAGTCAGAATCTGCGTTTCTGAAAGGAGAGCCGGGCGCCTTCTGCGCCCACCGTCTTCGGCGTTGGGAGCTCACATGAAAGTTGCCAAATTGTGTTGAGCCCATGGTGTCGTCTAGTATGCAACCGCTGCGGTGCGTTTGGATTGAGAGTCACTGCGGAGAGAGACGTGCTTCCGTAATATCTGCCGGAGGTATGCCTTTGCGTCTCCGGCTGCCGCTCAATTGTAATGGCAGATGCCAGAATATGCGCGTGTCAACCTGATGCCGTCGTCCGCCCTTTGTGACCTTTCAATCCTTCAACGCAGATATCCTTTGGCTGGCGGTTGTTGCTTTGTGTTCAGTTGGGAAGACCCGTTGTCGCTGGCGTGTGGAAGATGCGATCAAAGTCGATCGAAGAGCTGGTTTGTGGCGTGAAGATGGGACCCGACTCTAAGTTTGTTTCTGCGCAAATCGATCCCTCCTCCCTGTGTGTGTTTCGCGTCGCCAATGGTCGTCCTTGGTGTGCGCTATGTGCTTTGGAATCGAAGATTAGGAGTAACGGCGATGCCCTATTATTGGCTCGAATGTCGCGAAGAAAAAGAAAAACAGGGACGTGGAGTAGAAGCGCAGGGCAGGTAGTCCCGATGGATTTGTATGGATGCCGACGATGGGGGCGGAGAGAAAACAGACACGGGAAGCTCACGGCGGCCTGGGGTTGGCGGGTCCGCTTGCAAAATATAAAACTCGACTGGTAGGCCACTCACCTACTATGTAGGCCGAGGGCAAGGGAATTTACATACACACACACTGCATGGCATCGATTGGCACTCTGGCATCCATTTTTTTTTTTACCTAGCATTGGCAATGGCTGGGTAACTGGGTGGTCGCCCAGTGGCCGCGCTCCCTCGTCGCTTCCATTCGGGCAGCGGTAGCGGCAGCAGGAACAGGCTTAGGGCGCTAATTTTTGACTGGCCAGGTCGTGTCTGGGGCTCCTCCTCTTGGCTTTTGACCGCATGTGATTGGTCAGAAACCTTTAGCTCTTGCTCTATACGGAAGCCGAAGCCCAGCCTTCGAAATGACCAAGACGTGACAAGCAACCTGATGGGTTCACGTTTCGTCCAAATCATCCCAGCGTTACACTTGCGCTGGCCTCTCTGAAACTATTTCACTTCCGGACGAGGTCACAACGCAACGACATGCTGGCGAATGGTTCTGCTTTTCCTCGAGTTTGTTCTTTCCCTGTTGTTATTGCGCGTTCTCTCCCTGCCGGGTGAGTTGGTGATAGAAAGGGATGAAGCGAAAAACCATATACGAAAAGAGAGTCAAGGCAGGGGTCCAGGACCCAGCAACACCACCTGACACGAAGACCACGACACCCCAAACTCCGGACTAGATCGGCGAACCGTGGGTCTCGGAACTCGAGGTCTTACACTACTCTTTGGAACAAGCAAAACGTTGGGCGCGGTTCCGAGTAGCCGGCCTATATCACCGGCCATTATAGCTATATATCTCGCCCACAATCAGGAATCCGAATGGCACGCAATTGGACACGCTGTTCGTGAGGTTTACCTATGTATAGGTCTTAAGGGACGCAAAACTTGGTCGCTTAAGGTGGTAACCTCCATGTCAGTATTCTCACGCACGATGAGCTGGACAATACACACCCGCAACGGAAGCCGGTGAGAAGCGGAACCGAATGACGACCAGTCCGAAACCACGGATGGCCTAAGAAAGTACCACCGAGCCAGAGTCAGCAGCGTGCCCGCACATCCTTCTGCAGATTGTCCAGATACAGCTGAAGTTCAGGCGATTCCGACACCTGCAACAACTCCGCCTTCTCGAACACCAAGGCTGTGTGTTCCCTCCTGCAGGGCGCATCCATGCGTCGAGATTCAGGCGAAGACGAGCCCAACGGATCAAGTTCGATATGATCATGTCCAATCATGTCTTTCTTTAGTTTCCATCCGTACAGCCTTAACCCGAAATCCACACTCGGCATATATCAACTGGTTCATTGATTCATCATGTGGAAAGTGTCAAGAGACACTTGTGTACACAATGGACTTCTTCCAATGCTCAAGCTGGTATACACACCTGATATGGTGTCCAAAAGGGGACTTCCCAACTGTCCACCCCTAGTTTTTTTCGTTGGCGCGGGACTCCACTACGCATTCTGCACAACAACTTATCTAGAGGTATCCACCATGATCTCAATGCTTATATAAGTTTCTACCAGATGCGTTTCGGAAGCTTCATATATTCTTCTTAATTGCTTGTTTCGAATGTGGTTATTCTGATGTTTACCTGTATATTCCTTGCAAACCCCTTGTTGGAAGGACCGTCGCTAACAACCAAACCAGCATTGAACATGAAGTGGAAACTTGGGGTCCAAAAGTCTCCGGCCACCTCCAACTGAGGTTTTCGCACCAAAGCACCTCCTGTACACTCGCGAAAGAAATAGCATTCCAGACATCCAAAACCAGTGTCCCGAATTGCTTCGTCTTCAGAGTTGAACATTTGATCAGCTACGGTGACTCTAACAGATTTGTTGGTTTTTTTTCCCGTAACGAAAGTGAAGTCGGAGCGTACATCTTTGACGGGGGATTTGCAGGTGGCCGGAGACATTTAAACCCACACTGGGTGGCTGCATGGCTACCAGGTCCAGCCAGGTACGAACCGCATGCAGCGAGAATACCTAGGTCGCACCACATCAGGGCAACAGGAAAAGCATGGCCTCGTGGGCCGTTCAACAAACGGAGAAAGATAGCAAATTGGATGACGCGTGTTTGATGGCTATGATAATCAGATCCTGGTGTACCTTTGCTCACCCAGGGGCTTAGAAGGTCATGTTGCGACTGTCACTCAAAGCACCAACTAGAGCAAGCCGGGGAGTTATTGAGCAGGGGCATGTGCAGGTACAGCTGTGCAGGCACCCAGGGGTGCACCACGGTGCTATAGAGGTAGTCTGAGTTGTACCACACACAGAGGGGAGTCGATAAGGTACACTTCCATCCACTCCCACTTCCTCTAGAAGACGCCAACGGAAGTAGAAGCTACATCCAGGTATTTTCTTTCGGGACGCAGTAGGTATACACGAATACCACTAGTACCTAGTACCAGCTTCGTGTCATCAGCCATTGGAAGCCATGAAGAGGAATACCTACGTACCTCTAGCTAGGTAAGATCTCAACCGTCACCCGGCACGCACTATCTGACTTGTGACGCACGGCCTGAAAGTGCACTTTTCGCTCGCAAAAGAGTGCCCGAGGTGGTTAGGCCTGGTGGCATCCATAGGCTCCATTTCTGTTAGTGCACTTGCATTTAGGTATTTGTACCTCCATTTGCACCTTTGCGTACCTGACTGCCTATATACAAATGATACCTATTTGAAAGCTTCACTCCTTTTGATCCTCTTCCTGCCTCAATTCATGCAAAGTCTTTCCCTATCTTTCAGCTACAATGCAATCCAAAATCCAGCTCTGCACAGCAGTACCCCTATTCGTGCATACAGTGTACTGTGGTAGCACCCTCTGCACTTAAACGCACACCTGTTGATAACATGCAAAACCCTGCTTAATACCCCGATTGGAGTTCTAGTTACCGCATGTGCCTGCGAGCTAGCGATGATCTATTTTCTCCAGACATTGCCCCTGGACCTCGTGGAAGAAGTTCGAATAAGGTGTACCACGCAAGCGAATCTTCAAGCAGGAGGCTCTGTGCCCGTTCACGAGAGCGAACCCAAAACAGCGGGAACGGTGGTACGGACCGTTCCTGTCATCCTCAGGCCATCGGACAGGCTCTGGGTAGAGGAGGCACAGCAGACGGCCCGGACTGTTGGACGTCGGGATCAGGTTGGAATGAAATCATGTACCTGAAATAGGAACATATCACTGTAGCTGTTCGGGACCGTAGGCCACGGCAGTACGGCAGTGATTATGTGGGCGAGAAATGTGCCTCCGGTAGGAGTCATGATGAGAGGTGATAATTTCGTAGGCTTCGGCTGTTGACTTGTATTGAAGTCACGGATGGTCTGAAGGGCCCTTGATACCTAGCTTTGGGGGTTTAAGGTTCAGGTTCGTCCGCTTACATTGGCTTCTCCACCATTGCAGCTTCTATGTACCTTTGTTAAGACACTGAGAGAGAACAACAGGAACAAACACAATAATATGAATCATGCTTTGTCATGGACGATGCCAAGCACTGTCTGGGGATCTCAGTCTTTCGGATACTCTTTCTGGTCCTTCTTGGATATCTTGAAGAATTTGTCAGATACCTCGGTGCGTTAGCCTCGCAATGTACGTACTGTGACAGCTATGATGTTGACATCGATGTTGTCCCGGAGACAAAGAGTTCCCGCGTGGAGGCTCATCGGACCCCTAGTTTCGAGCTAACGATCGTGGGTTCGGTGTTTGAATAAATTGCTCCGACATCTGGGACATCTGGGGCATCCGGCTAGGCACCACGCTTGCCGGCTAGTTGTGTATTGGATCTGTGAATAACTTGGATGTCCCCATTTGATTGTTTCGAAGAGCAAGTCAATGAGTCGAGAAGTGCTTCGTCCCATCATCGCCATCTCTGCTTTGACTCCTGCCGTCTATTGCACAAGGGGCACAACAATGAATGAATGCCAGGTGTCGATCATGATCACTCGGACAAGTCTGACACTCTACACTAGACATTGTGAACTCTGACATTGCAATCATGTGGATGATTGAAGGGTGAAATGGCTGCCGGGTTCTGCAGTGATTTTCATTTGATTTGCGCGGCTTGTGATGTTTTGGGCATGTGTGCAACCGGTCTCTGCCAGTGACAAGTCAAAAGTTGAGGCCGGTTTGAGGTTTGAAGGAGACCAAAATCGGCGGGGTGTGGAAATGGTGGATCACGCACGGGACAGCGCTCCTGGAGGACTGGACCAGGGGGCTCCTCTGAGCAGGGGTGGATTGGTTGGTATGTACCATGCCAGGTGGGTCTTGGCGGGCCCTTGGCTGTCGTAGGTACCTCCACTGCTCTATACTTGCCCAAGATTCCCGGTCCTGGCCAGTTGTGTGGCAGGTTGTGCCTGCCGCAATTACCTCTCTACTTTACTTGATGGAAACTCCAGGTTTCTGTCATTAGTGCAGTCTTCAACTCTTTTCTGCAAGACACTCGGTCATCTGTCATTGTTAGTTGCACACGTGCACTTGCTTCCATTGCTTTCCCTTTGCCTTTGTGGTTGATCCGGGACCCCGTGAACAAGCCCGTG